AATTTTAGGGTTCTAAACCGAGTATAACCAGCTCTGATATCATGTGTAAGATTATTTGGATCAATACCAAAATTTAGAACACCTAAATATTATTTATGTAAAAGGTAAATTGCGTAACTCTTGAAGACATCTTTTATAACTACTCTCTCTTGGTATCACAAAATGCACACACATGTATACATCAAGAATAGGCTCTTCCACTTGATCTTCCTTTCTTTCCAGACTAACCCCTTGATGGAATCGTGAGCCGTCAGAGAACATATATTTTCTCTAGAGTCAAGTGGGGATCATGTCTCCTTTTAAATAAAAAACATAGGTTACCTAATTTCTATCCATCATGGATATTATGCCTATTAGGCCCTACACATACTACTCAATACACTCACATACTGGACTGAGTCCAGTAATTACACATACACATGGTGATTCCCAAAACCCAAAATAGGATCATAGAATAACATATTAGGTCATACCTTCAACCTATTTTAATAAATTAAAATTACACCAATCAATAGTAGTCCAAATAAAAAAAAATTCTAACATAACTTATTAGTATTGTTTAAGTTTGTGATAGGTTTGTAAAGAATTTCGTTAGAAAGTAAAACTTACATAAGCAACTATAGATATACTAACCAACTATACCTATTTTCTTCTTATTAAAAAGGTGTCTTATAAAAAACTTAACTCGGTTATAAATTGATTACTAAACTACATGGAATGTTTTCCAATTAGTGTTTTGCAATGATTTTGAAGTTACTTCTAGATTTTGAAATTATACAAAAGATTTAGGAATAAGATTATAACTTTTTCTAACTTGCCATCTAGAAACTAATAAACAATCTAATAATTACAAGATTTATTAAGGACACATATTAAATTTAAATATATTTGTTATGACTTCATATGAAACTATATATGGTAGAATATACAAGCCCATCTATGTTGATTTCAATTAGGAGAGAACATTAAGTTAGAACTTTACCTTATTCATTAAACTATTTAGAAAGTTAGTTTGATTCAAGAAAAAATGAAAACTATCTAAAGTAGGCAAAAAAAAAATTAACAAAAAGGACATATATCTTTGAGTTTATCACTTACAAAATTGTCTAATCATTCTTTTTTTCTAATCTTCATAACGTGTTTCATGTGTCATTATTTAAAAAACATGTTCCTAACACTTTACATATTGTTGATTTAATTTTAGTATAATTAAAAAATAACCTTATATATGAGGCACAAACTATAAAATATTATATAAGTAAAATAAACAACTAAGGAAATACATATTCTTTTGAATAAAATAGTACATAAAATTTTTGATGAAGATATACAATAAAACAAGGAAAGAGCATGAAAAAATAGTACTTACAATTATTCAAATAAGATAATCAAATTTTAAGAACAAAATTTTAGTGGGGATAAGAGAGTGTAATGTCCTAAAAAATTATTAGGTTAAATTCTTATACTAAGCACACTTTTTGTAATTTAGTCCCTACATACAAAAAAGTATACAATTTAATTTTTACATTAGTAAATATTTTTGTATTAATCTTCAATGTTTATGAACTTGTTGGTGTTAGACCAAAGAAAAAAAAATATTTGTACAAAGACTAAAATATAAATTTCTTAGTTATAAAATTTAATTTCTTAATTATAAAAATTAATTTCTTAATTATAAAAATTAATTTATAAATAAGTGTCAATTATAATAATTAAATATGTATAATTGATAAACTCATTTAAAAATTAAAAAAAAATGAGACACCAAAGAAAATAATCATGAAATTTAAAAAGATTAAATGTATATCATTAAGCAAACTTATATCTAGTGTTAATTTCATATTCTAAAGATAGAAAATATTTTCATTCCTATAAAAAAAATTATAAATATTCTATAATGATTAACATATAATAAAAAATTATAATGAAAATGTTAACACTAATACTTTTATTTTTTTATTTTTTTAAGATGTAATAGATAATAAAAATATAAAATGAGAAAGTTAACTTCAACTCCTAAAATTGAATTTAAGCAATTAATTATAATAAAATTTTATTAAAAAATATGATTTATTATACTTTTATAACTATAATATAATAAGTGCATTCATTCACAATAAAAACTTAATACTTTTTAATGTTTAAATACAATCTTAAGTACTGAAGTTAACAAAATTCTATAATATAAACTAAATTTTTTATTAGTCAAGAAAAAGTGTATTATTAAGACAAGATTAAATTATAATACAAGTCATTGTTCAACTAAATTTGGTGTCATACATTTTTTTAAATTATAATTAAATTACATATTTAGTCTCATAGTTGACACTTACTCATGTAAAAATTAAATTGTATTTTTTTTTTTTTTTACGAAGACCAAATTAAAAGGGCATATAAGTATATAAACTAAATTTATAATTTAACCAAATTATTATTAGACAATATTTAGAACTTTATAACTTATAACTTTCAAAAACTTATTAAATTAATATGTTAAATGTGAACTATAAATTTTTACTATATCCATTAATAAATAAATAAAATAAAATGGATTTATGTTAATTTAAAAGTTAAGTTAAAAAGCATCTTAGCTAGTACTTAGTTAAACAAACTTATAGACATAAATTTAGTAACTTATAGACATAAATTTAGAAATGTACTTATTTTTATGTTAACTCAACATAAATTTTCTTTGGTCCTAATACTTTTCCAATTATAACCAAATATTTCAATCAATTGTTAAATCAATTTCATAAATTTATGATCAAAGGATAGCATGTTTTCATTAAGGTTTTGATTTTGAAATTTTGTTATTATTATTATTATTATTATTATTATTATTGTTATTATCTTCTTTTATGTTATAAGTTTTCTAATTAAATATGTGTAATTTATATAGGTGTGAGTGTTTATAAATTATTGTTAATATTTAGCTAACCATTGTTTTAATACTCAAAAATTTAATTATATTTATATAATTAGTCATATTTTATGTTGACATGATTCCATTTTCAAATTGATTTTAATATATAGATTTTGAATTATATTACCTCTTGTCTATGTACTAAATAATGTTTGTGTGAAAAAAAAAAAAAAAGACTAAATTTAAAAAATGATTAGAAGAGTTAGGTAACTTATGTTGGACTTTGAACCCATGAATAATGTGATTGAAGAACTAAATTTGAGAAAGTTAACATGGATGGGCCTAAGAATATGAGAAATTGGATTAAGAAAAATGATTGAATGATATTTTTATGGACACACATCTTCAGTGTTTGTGTTAAAGAAATTTTTTAGAAGATAGAAAGTCTAGTTTTGATAATTGAAAATTACTCTTATCTAAGATAAATTGTATAAGATAAATCATTAGTATGTTCAAAAGTTGCGGTATCATCATTCAAATGATATAAGTATAAATAGACTAATTGAATGTGTCATAGATGATACATGACCGACTTAAACATAATAAAATCTGATAAAGGTCAAAACTATCAACAGACAACTGATTATCAACCAGGGACAACCGATTATCTAAAAAGTTATGTGAATTTCAAAATCATTAGATCTCTGCATTTAATAACAATTGACCTAGTGAAGACAAAGCAAATATCAAGAACATAAAGAGAATTATGTAAAAAAGACGAAAGTCATTTTATGTTACATAATTCTCTTTATGTTCTTGATATTTGCTTTGTCTTCACTAGGTCAATTGTTATTAAATTCAGAGATCTAAAAAAGTCAAGAATACAAAAAACTCACTAGTACTAGTACGACAAAAGGAGACTAAGCACATTAAGAATTTTTACTAAAAATAGTTTGATTTATCTAATAGGGTTGTATCTAATTATTACATTTCTTAAAGTTCTATAAAATAAAAATAAAAATAAAAAATAAAAAAGACATGCCCATGCAAATGAAGAAGAAACATGAGAACTACAAAATCACCCTTTGAATCAATTTCTCTTAAGTCTAAAGCAATTGATGTAAAAATGCTTGAGTTGTGTGTGATATGGAGTAACCCATTTAGGCCTCATCTTTAAAGCTAATTCTTAGTTCTACAAGTCCAATTCTGAACATTTATGCATGATATATAAAATTCCATGTTCATTGTAAGAAATTATAGTGATGAGTAACACCTATAACATTATTACAGAATCTTCGGTGGTTATGCCACCCAGGCACACCACGCAAGCCTACTCCCATGCCATAGTTGTGCATCACCCACAACCAAGCACTATATATCCAACAACATATTCTACCTTAAGGTATGCAATTTATTTTTTTTGTCTGTACAAATGAGCATAGAATGCTTTTCGTACGCTTTTGTTCCAATATCAACCTAACATGCCAACTAACAATGACATTAACAAACACATCACAAGTCAAGGTCCAAAAAGGTCCAATACAAGGCTTAAAAAAGCCCATGACAATAGCTAAAACTACAAAAAATTAAGAACTTTCCTAATTAACTTTTTCAAATCATGAGCTACACAAACTAATTTTAAGTTATGGAAAAAATTTGTTTTTTATTTTATAATCATATAAATGTTTTTGCATAACCCTACCCAAACTTTTAACCTATATTATATACTTCGTACAAAAATGTATAAAATTAAAAATGCAAATTAAAAGGGAATGTGTTAAACCAATTCGGCTTTTAAACGGCAATAATTTTACAACACCTATAAAATAAATTACATATTGTTAATGCGTTTTTAAAATACCTTTTAACAACAGTAATAATCTTTTAAAAATTGAACCACAATGGTTTGATATGACTTGAAATTATGTTAGTTTATTATTTAATATATTTATAAAAAAAAATTATCGTTAGTCCATAAACTAACAAATTATTAACTATGGTTCATCTTCCCCATGTCAAAGACTGATCTATTTTAAGGACATCGGTTAGTGAACCACATGAATCGAAAAAGGAGTGGTCTTGGAACAAAAACAAAAATGGTAGTAGTGGTCATATGGAAATCTCCAAAGCAAATCAAAAGGCAAATATAGTTTAACACTAATATGGTATAAGCCTTCAAGTTTAAAAATTTCGCGAGTTTGAATTATTATAAAATCAAAGCAGAAGCACTATATATGTATATATACCAATAGACAACATCCCCCAAACAACTTTCTTTGCACATATGCTGTCCAGTCGAACAATTGAGCATACTAACTCATGGCATATTTCTGAGTCCAAGAACGGGCAGTACTCTCGTACTTGGCTCTGTCAGTCTTATACATGTGGGCAATATCGGGCACCAAAGGATCATCCGGGTTAGGATCTGTCAGCAGGGAGCAAATTGACAATAAAACCTGCACAAAATGCATTCTTAATGTAAGTCTGAATACTAATTATGTTCTCCAATTGCAGTTGAGTCTGGATACATTCCTGCGGTTTGCGGGTTTTTCTTTAAATGCAACTCAAAAATCAATATAAATTGCCTTTTTTTTTTACTACTTTAATAGGAAGGTTAAGCAAAGAGACTAATATAGAAGGCATGAGTGACAATTATGAAGCCTCATACCTTGGAAACAGTAAGAGCAGGGCTCCACTGCTCTTTCAGAATGTCAAGACAGATACTTCCATTGCTGTTTATGTTAGGATGAAATACCTTAGTTCGGAAGGAAACCTACAAAAACCAAGTAAATACTTTTCCCAACCTAAACTAGAAATAAAATTTCAACCAAAGACACAATAAATGCATCAGAACTCAAGAAAAAGGAAAACAGATGAGATCAGAAAAATAGGCTTGCTATATATCTCTATAACAATATCAAAAGAAAAACAATTACAACAAAGAAATATCAGATAGCAGACCATAAATGCTTCACTAAGCTGCTATACATAACTGAAGACATAAAGGGGTTCTTCCTCACTTGCACGTACAGATATAAATATCTGGTTGAGGCCATGTCAATGACAGATAAGCTTTCGCTTTTATGGTAGTTTAGTAATGATAGAGATCATGTCTCAATATTGACACACCACTTAAAATGGTTTGAACTTTACACAAGAATATACATCAACAACAAAGCATGTCCATTAGGTAAGGTCAGTCATTGAAGCACACGATGCCATTAACCTTGGCCAATAACTAAATTCTCCAGAAAAATTATTTATCATGAGATTCCTTCAATTATTCAAAATCAAATTTTACCTCAGGTACATAATAATTTAAAGACTTTGTTAACCTCCAAACCTAAGAGCTGAGTTTAAGCATCTAAAGTTACTGAACATTTTATTGAAAAAGAAAGCAATTATCACACTTTTATAACTCTAAATATAATATTTGCTTTCTTTTCCAATAAAATTTACTAATTTTAGGTGTTTAACTTAAGGTTTGAGATTAAAAAAACTGTTTTAAATGTTTATATTACAGCATTGTGACACACAGCAGGTTTGCACAAGAATCCACGATGTTGGTTTAGGCTTAATTAGTTACCTTTGGTGGCTTAAATGGATAATCCGGTGGGAAGTGAATGGTCACAAGGAATACACCACCAGCATAAGGGCTGTCTGCTGGACCCATAATTGTAGCTTGCCAGTGAAACATGTCTTCACCAACAGGGCCTACTCGAGTAGAAAATATAAGAATCATGAGAACCTACTTACAAACAAAGAAAAAGAAGTACTTGACAATGATACATATTTAAATACAAAGATAATATATTTTATTAATATTTTTACATTTTATTAATATACAAAAATACATACATAGGTAACCTACTCACAATCAAAGAAAAAGAAGTACTTGACAATGATACATATTTAAATACAAAGATAATATATTTTATTAATATTTTTACATTTTATTAATATACAAAAATACATACATAGGTGTTTGTGTATCCATCATATCTTCCTCATTTATTAATTTATTTCCATTTCTATCACTCCCATTTTCATCTTGACCAATCTAAACCAAACTTTGATGTTGAGTGTTTGGTTTGGCTACATGAAACAGTGACCAAAACGTCATGGCCAATTCAAATCTACCCAGCTTCTACCATTCTCAACCACAGCATTTTCCCTCTAAATTTGCAACAGTATCCTTCTCTAATAATACCACCACAAGGTTCCATTTCTATCGCTCCCATTTTCATTTTGACCAATCTAAACCATTCTTTGATGTTGAGTGTTGCGTTTGGCTACTTGAAATAGTGACCAAAACATCATGGCCAATTCAAATCTACAGTCTACACAGTTGCTACCATTCTCAACCACGGCATTTTCCTTCTAAAAGTACTTCCATTTGCAACAGTATCCTCTAATAATACTACAACATTGTACTTTTAAGACCATGCAATTATGATCTTATGACTTTCGTACAACCAGCCTAGTCATACCTAATAACTAACTTTGGCAATCTTCAACATTCTAGAGAACCACCTATTATGTGGCAGATCAATCAAATTTGGGGGGAAAACACAGGCTGCCCTGATTCATGAAGTTACATATGACCTCACCCATCCCCCTTTCTATTCTGTCATTCAACCTGTGGCTTGGGTCAATCATCAATCTGTCAGGATTCATTCTTGAAGAGGACTAGATCGCTTGTGGATGTTGGTTGTGGTTGAACTCATCTCTTCTTCAAACGTGGTTGAGGCTGACAGCTGGATGTGGTTGCTTGCTGGTTTGTTTCTACATTTGTCCAAGAAAGTAAAAAAAAATATTTACCTAAGTTGTTTGTAGTTAATTGCTTGTTCCTTCAAACTATCTAGTGGGGTTTGGCTGACAAGTTTTGAGAAAAAAAGTATATTTTTGCCTATTTACGGTATTATATATGCATATATATTTGCTGTATTACAGTTTTGTGCTTCAGTAGGATCTCACAACCCATGTTACAATCACAAATTTGGCAAATCTTCACCGTCCTCCCAACCTTGACTACAAATGTTGTTTTTCTTATAATCGAAGCTGCATCCACATTTTACTAGCAACACAGTTACCCACAGTTTCTCCTACAGTGCTCTTACACTTCAATACACACATGCAAAATGGCATACAAGCCAAACTCATAACAGACAATTGTCTATCATTGTATTGTAACTTCCATTCAAACAAATTTCAATTTTTTCAAAAGAAAATTTTCAAACAATTATTTTGCTTGCCACTGTACTATATATATGCACACATTCAGGTCTATTGAAACAACAGGACTAAATGATATAGATAGACAGAGAAACAGAGAGAAAGGTAAAAGATTGAAAGAATGTCAGCGCAAACAAACCAGCACTGCAGGAAACAGGAGGGTCCTTCTGGAGGTCCTTCAACTCTTTAGTAATGCGCTTTGAAGCCATCACAAGTGTACCTAAATTTAAGAAAAAATTTCATGCTTCAAAAATTGCACCGCAACCAAAAAGAAAATATCTGGACAGAGATTATAAATGCATTTAACATGACCCGTTCAAATCAGTTTTAAGAGCAGAATGAATAAAATCATGAGCAGTGAATTCTGAAGACTGAAAAAGGGGTCACATGCTCACTCCAAAGAAAATAAAAAACAGGTTCAATTTACAGTGCAAGCAGGTAATACTAAAAATGAATAAGTAAAATAAAACATTTTAGTGCAGTTTTTTCAAATCAAGCAGACCGTATCATGAAAGGATTTTGCAAAGATCAAAAGTCAATTTTTGAATTGAACATATTTTGTACTATTAAATGCACAATAATTGATAAAATTTTGAGAGCTAACACAAACCTACACTCCATTCCGAAGTAATTGCCATTTATGGTTTTACACGGATTAAAAAGATACTAAAAACCGTCAATTTTAAGGATACATTAAAATAATTCACCATTTTAGTCCATTAATGCTCTTTATCATTCCAGGATTTGCAACCATGGCCTCCAAGTTATAAGGCTGTTAACAACCTTACCATTGTAGCAAGGCCTACCCTCACCGAAAGAGAACAATTGAATTAATGTTTTCTTGTTTTGATTTTCCAGAATGACAAACAATTTGAAATTAACTAAACTCAAAAGAGAATTATTTTGAAAAACATCAGCTTAGCTTATAAACCAGCTTATTCACTGCACAAAAAGGAAACGGAGTAACTTATTAACGATCATCAAAAGAGAGAGAGAGAGAGAGAGAGAGAGACTATGATAACATATTAGCCAATTCCAGATGAGTAAAAATAATTTTTTTACTTGAAAAAAAAAAACATACACTTAAACCAGGATATAAACAATTGTTTTCTTGCGATTTCGTCAAATAAGTAGCTGTGTATCAAAAATATCTTGAAACAGAACAATATGAACTAAATTTTGAACCAAACTTTTGTACTATCTATCTCAGGCGTAAGATGAATAACTGACAAGTAAAAAAAATTATATGTTCCAACACAACCAGCCAATAGATTTTTACCAAAATATTAAAACGTGAAACCGAGGATTTAAGCAATTCACTGTTTACAAAAGCATAGTTGAGTGCCTAGCACCAAACATCACAATCTCTAAACACCCAAATGATTAAAGGACAAAAAACAACAAAAATAAAACCTATCACTTCAGAAGTCAAAAGGAGAAAAATAAACGAAACAAAAGACACAAAACAAAAGGGTAAAAAAATAGCTAAATCAAACCCTAAAATTCCAAGTATCAAATTCCGCCTCTGTCATAATCCGATCAAACAAAGCAAAGCCACAAATAAAGCGTTGCTTAGGAGGAACAGAGATCAAAATCGAGAGAATCGAAGTGGGCAGAATTAGTCACAAACCTTGAAATTCTAGGGTTTGAAGTTTGATCAGAGCGATAAGAGAGAGAAGCCAAAGCGTTGAGCAGAAGAAAAGAGACTATGAGAGTGTTCCTTATATAATCTTTCGTGACCCAAACAAATTTCCCACCCCTTTCTTTTTTTCTCTTTATTTATTCTAGACTATTCTAGTTATTTACCCTATGTAAAAGTTGAGTTATATAATTTGCATCTCACACGGAATTGTTATACCTATTTATTATATATATTATTAAATCTTATACGGGAATTTTGTACCTTATTATTATTATAATTATAATTATTACTATGCTGTACAATAAAATCAACATGAATTATGTAATGAAGTAGCATTAAAACTATTTTTATTGAATTATGTAATGAATTAGTATTAAAACTATTTTTATTTTTAAGAAAGAACAACAACAACTCAAAAAAAAAAACTAAATTTAAAAACGAATAAATATGAATATGTTGCATCGGCTTAGAAGAATTTGAGCTTTTAGAAGTTTATAGAAAAAGCCAAAAAAAAAATATTTGAAAGATTAGAAAGGAAAAGGTAAGAGAAGAATAATAGAAGTTAATATAAAACTTTAAATTGAAAAACTTAAAATTACAGGATTAAAAGAGTTTTAGAGAGTTTATAAATATATTTTTTTCATCTAAAAACACTTAAATATAAATAAATATTACATAATTTTTCTTCTTTTTCCTTTTCTTTCTTAAAAACTAATTCTCAAACAATGCTAAAGAAAATGAGCACATTTGTTACTTTCCTTAAGGGTGTATTTTAAGCAACTTCTCATTTTTCATCTATATATTCTTTAATCTCCAATGTGATTTTAGCATAATTATGATAACATAGAATTACACATTTTTGGTCAAATGAATTACCTTCAAAGTGTCTAAAACAATAAGAAATGGAATGCATTTGAAGTTGATAGACAAGTTTAAGACCATTCAAGATTGCTAATACCGATGAAACTAGAGCTACCCTGATTCAATTGCCACAATTATCACAAATTACAGTTTCAAATTCTATCTTGAAATTTTTCCATGAAAATTCACGTTCAAATTAGCACTGCGCTGGACATTTTCAACAGTGCTACATCAACTTGATGTCAAATCGAATAATAATTTATATCAACAAAAACAAAAATTGATATATGATATTCCGCTAATTGACTAAGTTAGCAATATAAAATAAAAATAAAAATTTTAAAAGTATATATATATATATAGATATTAAATTAACCATTAGATTAAAAGCTTCTACCATGTAGATCTTGCTTAAAAATTTTTACTTCAATTCAAAATTATTTGATACTTCATTCATACACTTCAAAATAAAAATAACATATATATTTAAAATATATGAAAATAAGGACTACTTAATTATATTTTTATAATTTTTAATTTTAACAAAATTTGATATAAATAATTCATATAATATAAAATTATAATTCAACAGTAAGAATGACAAAACATTAAGCATATGATTATTAATACTATAACTATTTATGTAACTTACACCAAGATAAAATACTATTCCCTTATTATTAAATTAATGTAAAAAAATTATTATAATTGTAAACACTTAATTTTGTCATAACTTTTTTCTATCACTTAGTTTATAAAATAAAATTAAAATTAAGCAAGCAAACTTCTAATACTTTTAACACTTAATATCAATAAATGTAGCTTAATCCTAAAAAGAAGTAGATTTTAAAAATAACAATAATAATGATTAAAGTTGATAATAATAACTTAAGAATAAACTAAAGTTTTTTTAATGAAAAATATTAAAATTAGTCCAAAAATTAAAGATAAATTAAATTGAATAAAAAATAATTTAAATTTAGTTTTAAATTATAAATGGAGCTCTTCACTATAAAATAATGTTTAGTAGTAAGAAACAAAAAAAAAAAATAAAGGAAGTTGAAGGTAAGGTTAAGATGGGAGAGGAGTACAAAGTGGTGGAGATCTATGATGGAGTAAAAAGAAACAAATATTGCAAGCTCATATTGAGACAAAGTCATAACATAGAATATTTTCATTTTGAGATAAATCTTAAAGAGATTATCTAATTGACAGTAGAAGAGTTTGGTTTAGATAAAAAAAAATCAAGATATAGATGTTGAGAAAAGTCGGTCAACAAAAAATTTCAATCCTATAATCATGGTGGATTTAGAAGAGTTTGAAACTTAATATAGACTATGAAAATTTAGAGCATGTATGTATGCATTTTTAAAAAAGAGTTTTCTTTTTCTAAAATAAAATAATACACTTGTTTTTTAATTTTAAATAGAAAAAACTCTTTTTAAAAATGTAAACAACATATTACTCTCATAGTTATGCTTTTAGGAAAAAAGACATTTGTTATAGGACCTCTAGACCTCAAAATTTCATGCAAAAAAAAGGTGAAATTAAAATTGTGAACACAAATAAAGAATTTTCTGATCCAATTTTTGGATGAAAGAGACTATAAATATGCTTTATTAGAGGGACCACGGTTAATAACTGATGATTATTTCCTTATCCAAAAATGAAAGCCTCTCTTTCAACCATTAGAGCAAGCTATTTAGAAAATTATTGTTTTAGTTACAATCCTTATCTTCTACTTGAACTATATAATGAAAAATTCTTCTAGGGGTACCATACTCAAAATTGATAAGCACACTTTTATCCATTCTAGAGGAAGATTTGTTCCATGTGCCTAGAAACTTTGAAAAACTAATTAGTCCCTTCCTTTAACATTATAAGACAATTTTTTAAGATAAAATATGAAGGTCTTCACATTATCTAATTCAAATGACGGATCTATGATTACAAAATGAAGTCCTATCTTTTTGGATGTCAAAACAAGGATCAACCTTAACACTCTTCCATTTAAGAGGGGATGTAAACCTTATTAACTAAGAAAACTCCTAAATAAGAATGATAACTCAAACTTGTTTAAGCCATGAATGTTGGTTAAAGGGTGAGAAGTGTAATACCCTCTTTCTTTTCGTATTATTAAAGCAATTATTTAACATGAAAAGAAGAATTTATTTTTGAATAATAATGATAATAAGTTATGGATATTTCATTATTCTAAAAATAATAATATTTATTACTATTACTATTAACATGATAATATTTTATTTAGTTGTTGTAATTATTATTATTATTACTACTATTATTATTATTAGTGATAATAATAATAATAATAATAATAATATTGATTATTAATATTAGATTTTAATTAGGCTTTAGGAAATAGAATCTGTATACGAAAAAATCTCAAGGGACCTCCCAAATCACTTCTATATAAATTTGAATGACTCAAGACTATTATTTTATGTGTATTTAAATATTTGGTCTTATTATATATAAATTTATTTTTTAAATATTTCAAAAGTGAACCAAGTGAAAATCTTATATTATTTTTCTCTCCTCACTATCTAATTTTTTTAATGACTCATATTTTCTTTTACTCACTCTTTAAATCTTTATATATATATATACAAGACTCATTTCCTTTATAAACCAACAAAATAGCTCCATCTTTTACTCATTTTTTTTCCAACATAACACTCCCTTTCTCACTTACTCATGGTTGCACCAAAAGAGAACAATTTATTCTCATTCTCTTCCCACCAAGTTTCTCCTAAGATAACCATTAACATTCCATTTTCATTCAGCCAAAGCCACATATAAAAGCACTTTTATGCTCCCTTTGTCACCCTCTTCCCATCCATCTAATCTAAGAAAGCTATTTCCTTCATCCACACCCAATATATATATATATATATATATAACTCCTTTAACAACCCATATTCTATTTGAAATTCTAACTCCCTAAAACCTTCACGAGTTTTTGTTATGCATATCTAGTTCTTTGAGTTTGAATGTTTAATAACTTGGAATATTTTTTAATGGCCCTATTTTTAATTTTTATACTATTTTCCAAATTCTTTATATTCATTTTAGATTAGTTTCTAAAAAAAATATTTTTGAGAATGTTTATGTGTTTTATAAAAATGAGAAAAAAAATAGTATTTTGATACACAATATTTAAGATGTAGTTTCATCAAATTTTTCAACCAACCAAATATCTTTTGAAGAAGAAAATAGATAAAAAAACATAACTATTTTAAATTTCTATCATTTCTTTATACTATAAATGATATTGATCATGAAGTTTCTAAGTGTACATAATTAGATAATGAATTATATCAATTTATACAACCTAAATAAATTAATATTCATATCATTTCTTTAATAGGATTACTAAAACTCATAAATCTTTATATATTTATACACATGTACATACACATAGTTTTATATACCATGGATACATACAATATCTTTATGTAACTATGCTTAAAATTCTTTGGATGGAAGGTTATACTTCCAAGTTCATATAAAGGTAACAAGAGTAACATCAAAATTCTAAAGACAAATTAGTAAGGAAACAATGGACCATAAGCATCATTGCATAAAAATTGTGGAGATGACGATAAAGAGCACACTATGAGACCTTTGGTAAGGTAATAGTAAATCAAAGGATTGATCCAAATAGAAAATTTTCCAACTATGCAAGAGAAATGTTTTTAGAGGTATGTGAGTTTGGTTGGAGGATCTCAATGGTTTAGAATGACCTCTCAATGATTGAGACTTCTCTATTTGAACTTATTTACCTTGACAAAATTCTGAATAATTATCATGACTAGATGAGTCGACTTTAATTGTTACTATTTTTGTATGTCTTCGATGTACAATGATGTTTAGAAACCAATACATTGGTATCTTCCTACAATGGTGACTATGGGCCCATTGCGTCATAAGATAGTTTAGAATGATATTCTAAATAGTATTAGCCACATCCACTACATGCATTTTGATTGAGCTTCTTTGTTTATTTTATTCCTTAAAATTATTATTTAATATTAATGTTTTACTCTTTGTTTATTATTTGATATTTGCTTTTGTTTGTTCTGTGAGATTTTAAGATGGTTTGTTTGTATATTGTAATTGAAGTCATAATTGATAAGGATGGCAATAAGGATCTCTATACTCCCTCCTACCACAAACATTATGGTAGCATATATAGTAGGAGAGTTATATTTTTAGTATTTGACTCAT